GGCGTCAGGTTAGGCATTCATTTATGCACGAGTGAGCGAGAGAAAGAGAGAGAGAGAGAGAGAAAGTGAATGGGAGAGGAGAGGTGAAAGAGACAATCCATTCTCTGTTGGGTTCTCATTAAGCCATAGGACTATGGGCGGGCGCCTTGTCAAGTCAGCATAATGAAGCGATAAGCTGCTGACATATTGCCAAGTGCAACCTCAATCCATACATACATATGTACATACATATATGCATGCAAATGTATGTATGTATATCGCTCTCTCTCTCTCCCCTCGATATGCCCATCCTTTGGCATAGCAATTACCAGACAAACAACAATAACAGTTTGCCATGCAAAAATCAACGTCAAAAGTTCAACTGTTTGCAAATAATTTGCAAAAATCGTTTGAACTTTGAGTTTGGCTAGTACACCCCTCCCCATCCCCCCAAATCACCCTTCCTCAGCCATCTCTATGTGGGGATGGTTCATCTGCAGCTGCATTGTTTGACACACATACATTAATAATATGCACACATACGTATGTATGTACATATATGTATGCAGATGCTCCCACACAGAGGTAGACGGAGTCTTATCGGCACAGTTCCAAATACCGTTCGCGTTTTGCCTTCTTGTCGGAAAACTACGCCACGCTAAGCATTTTGCCGTTGCCATATTTCACAATCCTCGGCAACAACAAAACGGAATAGACAGACATACCGACAGCCATACCGACAGACTACTAGATATCTGTAGGCACACACACATATACCCACCTACATATTGGAAACGAGTGCGAATACGAGCACGAGTTTATATGCAGCATATCTGTAGTTAGGTATGTGCAGAGCCAAAGCATAAAGCAATGTCGGATCCACCATGGAGAGGAATGGAGCGCCCAGCATGGTGGGGGCGAACAAAAAACGAAAGAAAACGTTTGGTTGTTGGATTAAAACCGAATGGGAGATACTCTTGGCAGCAAGTTTTAAACTTTGCACGAACTCGCAGTACACAAATATTTAGTAATAAATCTAATCTGACTTTACACTAATTTGCTTGATATTTGTATCTTTATCTTTCAAGAATTTGGACATTTTTATATACATATAAAAAGCTTTGAGGAATTTCTGGCTGATTTGATCAGTTCCAAGCCCTTATTCCGGTAAGTACATACACATATCATATTTCCGAAAATTCCCATATATTTTATATACATATGTATTTACATATCACCCTGTCTGTACGTTCTATCCAGCCTCATGGCAGTGTATAAAAAAAGTAGAATTTTTCCAGTTTTAACCTCGATGCGAGGCGACATGAATCATCTTGGCATTTTTGCATCAAAATTTTGCATTGCACTCTAGAGGGGGGGGTGGCCTACTGTCCAACGACAGCCTTCACTTTCCTCCAGCTCCTACTGCAGCTCCTGCTCCTGCTGCAGCTCCAGTTCATACTGCAGCTCCTGCTCCTACTGCAGCTCCAGCTCCTACTGCAGCTCCTGCTCCTGCTGCAGCTCCTGCTTCTGCTGCAGCTTGTTTATGGCATTGGCATGTATGACAGTTGCATTCAATCAATATGCAGGCAAACGCGCTCAGAAAGAGATCCGCATCCAGCAGCCATCACAATCTGTTGAAGTCAGAGTCAAACTCTGGTCGGAGCCGGGAGTCAGAGTCTCAGTTCAATGGATTTTGTGTTTCATGCTTCTGTGCAGACGCGTAGGGGGCGGAACCTGAACCTGAACCCCGGCCCCGGCCCCGGCCGGATTGCCAATCGCATTCACATTTCGAATGCATTGTGTTCGACGCTTCAGCTTCCTCTGGATTCTTTGTGCCGGAATTTATCAATATGCATTCTGTTCGCCTTGCGATTTTGCTTACTTACAGCTCGTTGTACTCGTACTTGTGCGACACCTTCGCCCTGCGCCATTATTATTAATATCTTCGCTGCCATTTTCTCACTTTATATGTACACCCAATAATCGTAGGGCTCTCAAGGTCTCGCGTTAACGAACGAACGGATCTTGGAGACCATTGCTGAAAACTATCAGCCCCATAAAACTGTTGCTTCTTTTTGAATCATTTTTAAAGTGTTTCTTTTATTCTTAATAGTCGGGGGTATCCGTAAAGTCCGAATATCGTGCGCTGTCATTTTTTTTTGCTTTTGTCTTTTGAGGTTCTTCCTATTTGGTGTCGTGTGAGGCGTGTCCGGGCCTAATGTTTGCCCAGTGATGACATACACTTGTAATGTCTCTCTCTGTCTCTCTGCTTCTCTCTTTGGATCTGTGTCGTTGTTCTGTTTTTGTTCCCCCTCTGGGCTCTTGAAATTTTGTCAACCCCAACCCCAGTGGGGAAGAAGAGTCAAAGAATGTCGAGCACACAATAAAAGTAGCACTCCAAGTGCCATGCCACTCAAGGTCAAGGTGAAGCAGCACTCGTGCAAGAGCTCGACTCTCAATCGAGACATCAGAAAGGGGAAAGGTTTGCGGCTAAATAAATTGTGACAATATTTGAGTGGCAGATCGAATACATTTCTAGGGAATTTGCGAATTTAATTGGGCTTGGGAGCACCTGCAGGCGGGAATTTGGCGGCCTAAAACAAAAGCGAAAACCAAAAAATAATCCTATGCGAGACTCCGATGTATTATTGGAATGGAATGAAATTATGTTTGTTAAATTTTAAATTCGGAGAAACTCTCTTTTTAAGAGCAGACACCCAAGAATGTTAACCTAAGACTCTACTTTACACAAGAAATCTGTAGATTATTTTTGCGGCAACAATTAAAATGTTTTTGTGGTTTTTAGCAGGATTTTAGTTGAACATTTTTCTGGCTTCCATATTGCAGTAAAACAAGTTAATAAAATGGCACCCATTCAATTTTAGAAGTGAAAAAATGTAGACAGTTTCCAGTAAACATTTACAGTAGGACTTCCCCTTTTGGGTTGTGTGTTAATGGTACACAAATTTACTAGGAATTAATGCGATAATATACGATGGGTGTGGAAGCTCTCCCTCTCTCTCCCCCTTTCATTAATTATGTGTTTAACTTCTTCACTTACCCTCCACACCCTCCACACCCTATCATGTTCTCTTTTCCCCTTTTATCATCCGTCTCGTCTGCTCTCTATTTAGCCTTTTGAATGTCCCTCCCCGCTCTGAGGTTAGGTTTTCTTTTATTTGGATGCGTTAAAAGCTTTTTTAAGCCGCTTTTATCAGGTCTTTGATGGTGACCCACCTCACATCTCTCGGGTTTCCACATCCTGTATAACTCTTTTGTTTACTTAGGCATCCACCATCCAACGCAGCCTTACCTAACCCCTACGACAGCAGCCCTCTGCTGCTCGCTGGCCCACCCATCCATACATGTCATTACAAACAAATGCCACATCCTGGGGCACCCATTTGAGGTCTATAAATAAGCACCAACAATGGGGGCCTAGTCTAACAGATTCACCACGCACGTACCCCTACTCAAACTTCCCCCTCGCTCAGTCTCTCTCTCGCTGTCTCCCTCTTTCTTTGTGGCGTTAGCGTAAAAGATTAAATTCGTTACACGAGCCCAAGCCCAAAAAACGCCCAAGAAAACACATGGAAAATGGGTAAACATGATGTACCACGCCACGCCCCCTACGCAGGCCCCCCCTTAGGCTGCGTTTCAGCCGAATTTCTTTCTTTTCGACTGGTAAAAGTTTACTTCTCCTCGTCATATTTTCCCTTGCATTGTTTTCCCGCGTCAATTTCCTATTTGTATTTGTGACAATTTCTTTTCGCTTTGCGCCGTTTCCTTGGCTTTATTGCTTTTCTTTTACTTTCTATTACACTTGATTCTTTTTCTGTTTCGTTCTCTTATTGTTTTTTTTTTTCGTTTTTTTTTCCGTTTTTTTTCGCCATTTTCAATGAGCTTTTGTTTGACTTTCCGACTTTTCTTGACTCTTGTAGTTTTGTTTTGCTTTTTCTTTTTATTGTATTCTCGTTTATATATGTATGTATGTATATAAATAAATATATTTTCGGAAGCAAAAGGTAAAAGTTTTTGATGTTTTCCTGGGAATCTTTTGGTTTTTGTTACTTGTTGTTGGTTGAATTTTCGGTTGAGACTTTGATTGGCATTAAAAGTGTTATATGAGCTACGCATGAGTTTTAATAGCCTTGTGGGGACTGTGCCTCTCCCTGTCCCATCGCCACATGAAGATGATGTCCCAGTTGTGTATTGCTCTGGCTATTCTGTGTCTCGATTTCCCATTTCCATTTCCATTTGGTTTTCTTCTTGTTCTTGTAATTGCTCTGAATCCCTCTCGGTGACAAAGTTTCATTTTGATGCCTTGGACTTTAGTGTTGGCCATAAAATACTTAGTCTTTCGCTCTCTCTCTATATGTGAGGGCAAGGCACGGGCATGGAGAAAAGTTGAGGAAAACGCTTGTTTTTACACTCTTTCCCTCATGTTTATTGTTATGCCATCACCATCCAGCATCAGCATCATCCGCCGGAGAGCATCATTATCATCATTATCATCATCATCATCATCATCAGTGGAATCGCAATTTTCCCTAGTTTTACCCGGCACTTGTCCCTTTCATAGCTGTATTCAATCAGAGCTCAAATAGCTGGAATTAGCAAGAAAATTCTGCAGCCGCACTTTGTCTACAATTTGATGACCTTTTAATTTCCCCGAAATCACTGCTTTTGATGGCGATTTTCAGTTAATGCAAGCAGCAGACGAGTGGAAAGGTTGACGGGACCAAGGTGATAAAAGCCAATGTTTCCGGTAAGGAAATGAAAGCAAAGCACAGGAAAATTAAATTATATTAATTGATGAATCCCAAATGAAGATGTGGTGGAAGAAAACGTAATTGAATGAATAATTAAGTGAGTGAATGGAATGGAATCTCACTATTAAATGAATATATAATGAAGCGTAAATAATTAATTACAGAATAAGAAAAGAAGAAACCACAGTAAACGAAAGCACACAAGTCAAAAACAATATAAAAACAAACAATAAAAATAAATAAAGCAGCTTACTTCAGCTTACTTCAGCTTCACACACAATCCCCAATAAAATAATACAACATTTATACAAAAACTCGAGCACATACTCAAATAATGATTCGATACAATATCAACCGCATAGTCGTGACTTGTGCCATCATCTTCCTGGTGATATTTATATTTATTAATTACAATGGCGAACGTAAGCCAAAAATCAACAAATCTGACACAGCATATTTGCAACCACAAACCCTCTTAGATTTATCCAAAACAAGCAACGAAACGAAGGTGAAAAAACCACGAACTGATCCCGAAAAATTCTTTGTATTTAGTCCCAAGTGCAAGATACCCTATGTCCATCCATTCAGTACTCAGTTCCTGGACATGTCAAACCAAATTCCATATAAAGCCTGTACTGCGGATCCGGACCTCTTCAGCGTTCTCTATGACCGAAAAAAGAGGCATTACATACTGCACCTGAACCAAGATGTCCTGAAGAGACTGTATTTAAGCATTACCGACTTGTATTGTGTCTATCGGGAGACAGTTGCCGGATCAAACGATTCATTTGCCATGTGAGTAGTGCAGCAAAAGTTAAATAGCTTCTGCCAGATCATCTGATCCACAGGACCAGCCGTCCTGAACCCTTCCATGGGGACTTCATTGTCCCGCGTCACTTTCTTGGCATTGTGGTCCAGTGCAGCGACATGAAGAATCTCTCGCGAGTGGTGCAGGCCGATGCGTTTTCCTTCGCGCAGTATCCGGACTACCGCAACGAGACGAACGATGACTGGCGCGGCGCCCACTATCCCAGTGTGTTCCTCTTTGGCATCGACAGCATGTCCCGAATGAACTTCCGTCGCACCATGCCTCTCACCTCAGAGTTCACCCGTCAGCAGGGCTGGTATGAGATGGAGGGGTACAACACAGTGGGAGACAACACTCTGCCCAATCTGCTGGCCGTCCTGACAGGTCGAAGCTCAAAAAGGTGGGCACATGATTGTAACTTAAACAATCCGGCCTGCTTTGTGTATTTGTGGGACTACTTTCGCAGTGCCGGCTACATGACTGCCTATGCGGAGGACCTCCCTTCCAAATCGACTTTCGACTATTTGAAATCAGGCTTTACACGGAAGCCGGTCGACTTCTATCTTCGTCCGTTTCTGGTGATTCTCGAGAATGTCCTCAAAACGGTGGAGTGGCTGGATCAGAAGTACTGCCTGGGGCGGAGGACAAGCTTTAGCTACGTCTTTGACTATGCCAAACAGCTGATCCAGCGCTTTGTGAAGGAGACACCTAAGCCCCTGTTCGGTATCTTCTGGACGAGCAGCTGCACACACGACCATCCCAGAGGGGGCGAGCTTCTGGATGAGAGCTTCGTCAATTACTTGGAACAGTTCAAGGCCTATGGACTATTCGACAATGCCATTGTGGTACTGTTAAGTGACCACGGGTTTGGGGGGTTGGCGGAGCAACCTTCAGGCTTCCTTGAGGAGCGCCTGCCCATGCTGCATATCTATCTGCCACCCTGGTACCGTCGTCGCTATCCACAAGTGGCGCGCGCTCTTCAGCTGAACCGGAATCGTCTTACCTCCAGCTTTGATCTCCGTATGGGCATCCTATCGATTTTGGTGCAGGTTCGTCCACAACTTAGATCTAGGAGCTGGTCTTGTGAAGGTTGCCGATCAATCTTTGAAGTGGTTCCCAGCGACAGAGGTTGCGACGATGCCAACATTCCCTATCATTCGTGCGCATGCGAGACCTTTGTCCCTGTATACATCTCTGACTTCATTAAGGGTCTGGCCGTAAGGGTTGTCCTTCGAATGAACGAATATTTGGGTGGGCTGAAACTGGATACCAGCTGCCAGCGACTGTACCTTCGTAAAGTGCTGAATGCCAAACGCCAACTGCTCTTTAATGATGTTGAAATAGGTATATATCAATTGGAGTTCATCACCACACCGAATGGCGGAAAATTTCGATCAATTGTCCACACGGACGACACTTCCAAGTTAATAGAAATGGAATTGGAGGTCGATCAGTCGATAAGTCGACTGAACTCCTACCGCAATGAATCCAACTGTGTGGAAGACGCACTGGCCAAGAAAATTTGTGCTTGCCGCGATGAGAATTGGCAAGGCTCGTTAATCGATGATAATAGTACGATAATACTAAGGAATGAGGATGAATATGATGAATCGGATGAATTTGTCAGTGCTGACAACGATATACTTCAACTTCATGGTTAAATATGATTATTTAAAATAAATTAAGCTGTGTGATAACAGCCAACATTTCTGGAAAGGAAAACTAAAAATGAACAAATTACAAATTAATGGATCAATCTGAGATGAAGATGAGTCTAGTGAGATCTTATTATTATGATTATGATTATTATTATTATTATGATTATTATAATTATGATTATTATGATTATTATTATTATTATGAATAAATACAGCAGTAAAGTTGATAAATGTGCCATTATTTTTCCGATGCAACCATTATTATTATAGCGGTATTTAATTTTAGAGGATTCGCATTGTATCTCTTATCTTTTGTGATGTTTTGTCATTCATTTATTTCTTATCAGCTTCTTCTTCCCTATTACGGTCAGCACTAAGATGAATATTTTATTTTTATATATGAACGAATTAATTAATTTATTTCAGATTCCTTAATTTTTAGTATCTACTAACTATATAATAATAGTAATAATCAAATACCATTAAAATGGAAAATATTTATTTGTCCATTATTCTAGATTTTATTCTGTATGAGATTTAAGTCTAAAACCTGTCCCCATATGTTCTCTGCAATAAGATCAGGAGAGCAAGTAGTCTACCCAATTAAGGCAACATTTTGGTCTTCAATCAACTTGAGCGAAAGTATTCGTGGATTATCTTTTTGAAATAACCGGATATAATTAAGGTTAACATGGTTGTAAGGCTGTGGAAATATTGAAATTAAAACCAAAACCACGAAATCATTGACTGAGTAATTTTAATTTAATTTAATTTAATTTTTTCTGATGCAACTAATCTTTCATTTGGGTGGACTAGATGAATTTAATTATTATTTTTATGATATAAGATGGGTGATATGGGTGGCCATATTTTGATATCTATTTTATTTTGTGTCCGAAGAATGGTCGAAGAACTCGCTACAGAAAGCAACTCAAACAAAAAACACCCTGGTTTCACGAGGAGTACCGAACTTTAACTCGAAAATAACACTTTCTCAGAAAAAAGTGTGCTTCGGTTGATCCTGCAATCACACAAATAAATATTCAAAAATTCATACACAAACTCGAGCACATACTCAAATAATGATTCGATACAATATCAACCGCATAGTCGTGACTTGTGCCATCATCTTCCTGGTGATATTTTTATTTGTTAATTACAATGGCGAACTTAAGCCACAATACAACGAATCGGCCACTGCATATTTGCAACCACAAACCCTCTTAGACTTATCCAAAACAATCAACGAAACAAAGGAGGAAAAACCACGAAGTCATCCCGAAAAATTATTTGTATTTAGTCCCAAGTGCAAGATAGCCTATGTCGATCCATTCAGTACTCAGTTCCTGGACATGTCAAACCAAATTCCATATAAAGCCTGTACTGCGGATCCGGACCTCTTCAGCGTTCTCTATGACCGAAAAAAGAGGCATTACATACTGCACCTGAACCAAGATGTCTTGAAGACACTGTTTTTCAGCATTACCGACTTGTATTGTGTCTATCGGGAGACAGTTGCCGGAACAAACGATTCATTTGCCATGTGAGTAGTGCAGCAAAAGTTAAATAGCTTCAGCCAGATCATCTGATCCACAGGACCAACCGTCCTGAACCCTTCCATGGGGACTTCATTGTCCCGCGTCACTTCCTTGGCATTGTGGTCCAGTGCAGCGATATGAAGAATCTCTCGCGAGTGGTGCAGGCCGATGCGTTTTCCTTTGCGCAGTATCCGGACTACCGCAACGAGACGAACGATGACTGGCGCGGCGCCCACTATCCCAGTGTGTTCCTCTTTGGCATCGACAGCATGTCCCGAATGAACTTCCGTCGGACCATGCCTCTCACCTCAGAGTTCACCCGTCAGCAGGGCTGGTATGAGATGGAGGGGTACAACACAGTGGGAGACAACACTCTGCCCAATCTGCTGGCCGTGCTTACGGGTCGAAACGCAGTAGGATGGTCAAGGAAATGCAACTTAAATAATCCTAGTTGCTTTGTATATTTGTGGGACTACTTTCGCAGTGCCGGTTACATGACTGCCTATGCTGAGGACCTCCCTTCCAAATCGACTTTCAACTATTTGAAATCAGGCTTTACACGGAAGCCAGTCGACTTCTATCTTCGTCCGTTTCTGGTGATTATCGAAGGTGTCCTCAAAACGGTGGAGTGGCTGGATCAGAAGTACTGCCTGGGGCGGAGGACAAGCTTTAGCTACGTCTTTGACTATGCCAAACAGCTGATCCAGCGCTTTGTGAAGGAGACACCTAAGCCCCTGTTCGGTGTCTTCTGGACGAGCAGCTGCACACACGACCATCCCAAAGGGGGCGAGCTTCTGGATGAGAGATTCGTCAACTACTTGGAACAGTTCAAGAACTATGGATTATTCGACAAGGCCATTGTTATACTCTTCAGTGATCAGGGTTCAAGGCTTAGAGAGTTGGCGGAACACCCTACAGGCTTTCTCGAGGAGCGCCTGCCCATGCTGCATATCTATCTGCCACCCTGGTACCGTCGTCGCTTTCCACAAGTGGCTCGCGCTCTTCAGCTCAACCGGAATCGTCTTACCTCCGGCTTTGATCTCCACATGGGCATCATAACGATTTTGGAGCAGATTCGTCCACGAATTAATTATTCCATCTGGTCTTGTGAAGGTTGCCGATCAATCTTTGAAGTGGTTCCCAGCGACAGAGGTTGCGACGATGCCAAAATTCCCTATCATTCGTGCGCATGCAATTCTTATGTCCCAGTGCCTATCTCTGACATCGTTCAGAGATTGGCCACAGCGGTTGTCCAACGGATGAACGAGTTTTTGACTCAGCTCGATCTGAATTTTGAGTGCGGGAAGCTGTACCTTCGTAAAGTCCTGAGTGCCAAGCTGCCGGTACACTTGGATGGCGTTGGAATGGGTATATATCAATTGGAGTTCATCACCTCACCGAATGGCGGAAAATTTCGATCTTTTGTCCGTATGGACGACACTTCCAAGTTAATAGAAATTGAACTGGAGGGGATAAGTCGACTGAACTCCTACCGCAATGAATCCTATTGTGTGAAAGACGCAATGGCCAAGAAAATTTGTGCTTGCCGCGATAAGAATTGGCAAGGCTCGTTAATCGATGATCAAAACACAAAAATAGAGAAAACGTCGGATGGTGTTGTTGTCTATAATGTCAACGATTGACTTCAACTTCATGGATAAATATCTGCACAGTTTTGTAGCATCATTTATCAATAAAAATGGGAAAAACAATGTAAAAACCTTGGGGACTTATTTATTATATTTTCAACTGGCCGTACAGCGACAGTGCAGCCTAGGGTGCTGTGCGCCATGAGATGTACATGGGGATACATCAAGGCTAGAAAGACACACCCACGCACTCTCTGTTCGAACACCAAGAACGCCAGCTACTTGTTGCCTTATGCGGGGTATATAGAGTGCAAAATGTTAGACTATCTGAAGCCCTGATTAACCCAGAAACTCACAGAATACTCTGCACTTAAGGTAGAGACAGCGTTTAGCCGCTTGCCAGGTGGGGAGCGCACGAATTAGGGTACGTTCTGGACAAATCACTTCAGTCACGACGATTCCTTCATGTGCTCGGCATTGCAAAACAAGGCACTCATTGACCTAACTCCTTGTAGCCTCGTTTCGCGCGAAGAACCGAACTTTAACTCGAAAATATCTCTCAGAAAAAAAGTGTGCTTCGGTTGATCCTGCAATTACATAAATAAATATTCAAATAATTCATACACAAAACTAAAGCCAAACGGAAATCATGATTCGATACAATGCCAACCGCGTAGTCGTGATTTGCGCCATCATCTTCCTGCTGATATTTATATTTGTTAATCAAAATGGCGAGCCGAAAACCGACACGACGCCACAAATCAGCAAGTCGGAGACAGCATATGTGCAGGCAACAACCCTCGCAGATCTACCTAAAACAATCAACGAAACCAGGCAGAAAAAAACACGAAGAGAAAAAGTTGCCGAAAAGTTCTTCGTCTTTAGTCCCAAGTGCAAGATACCCTATGTGGATCCATTCACTTATGAAATACTGGATCCGTCAGAACAGGTTCCACATCTGACCTGTGGAGGGGATCCGGACCTCTTCAGCGTTCTCTATGACCGAAAAAAGAGGCATTACATACTGCACCTGAACGAAGAAATCTCGGACCCACTGTATTCAAACATTACCGAATTGTATTGTGTCTATCGGCAGACAGTTCCCGGAACAGACGATACCTTTGCCATGTGAGTAGTTGAAAAAAAGTGAAATAACTTTACCCCAAGCATCTCTTTCACAGGACCTACGCTTCTAAGCCCCTCACCGAGAATTTTATTGTGCCGCGTGACTTTCTTGGCCTTGTGGTCCAGTGCTATGATGTAAATAATCTCTCGCGAGTGGTGCATGCCGATGCGTTTTCCTTTGCGCAGTATCCGGACCACCGCAACGAGACGAACGATGACTGGCGCGGCGCCCACTATCCCAGTGTGTTCCTCTTTGGCATCGACAGCATGTCCCGAATGAACTTCCGTCGCACCATGCCTCTCACCTCAGAGTTCACCCGTCAGCAGGGCTGGTATGAGATGGAGGGGTACAACAAGGTGGGAGACAACACTCTGCCCAATCTGCTGGCCGTGCTTACGGGTCGCAGCACAAGCGAGTGGTCAAGGAAATGCAACTTAAAGAGTCCTGGCTGCTTTGACTTCATCACTTATTTGTGGGACTACTTTCGCAGTGCCGGCTACATGACTGCCTATGCGGAGGACCTCCCTTCCATATCGACGTTCAACTATTTGAAGGCAGGCTTTAGAAAGAAGCCAGTCGACTTCTATCTTCGTCCGTTTCTGGTGATTATCGAGAGTGTCCTCAAAACGGTGGTGTGGCTGGATCAGAAGTACTGCGTGGGGCGGAGGACAAGCTTTAGCTACGTCTTTGACTATGCCAAACAGCTGATCCAGCGCTTTGTGAAGGAGACACCTAAGCCCCTGTTCGGTCTCTTCTGGACGAGCAGCTGCACACACGACCATCCCAAAGGGGGCGAGCTTCTGGATGAGAGATTCGTCAACTACTTGGAACAGTTCAAGAACTATGGATTATTCGACAAGGCCATTGTTATACTCTTCAGTGATCACGGGTTAAGGTTTGGGGAGTTGACGGAACATCCTTCAGGCTTCCTGGAGGAGCGCCTGCCCATGCTGCATATCTATCTGCCACCCTGGTACCGTCGTCGCTTTCCACAAGTGGCTCGCGCTCTTCAGCTCAACCGGAATCGTCTTACCTCCGGCTTTGATCTCCACATGGGCATCATAACGATTTTGGAGCAGATTCGTCCACGAATTAATTATTCCATCTGGTCTTGTGAAGGTTGCCGATCAATCTTTGAAGTGGTTCCCAGCGACAGAGGTTGCGACGATGCCAAAATTCCCTATCATTCGTGCGCATGCAATTCTTATGTCCCAGTGCCTATCTCTGACATCGTTCAGAGATTGGCCACAGCGGTTGTCCAACGGATGAACGAGTTTTTGACTCAGCTCGATCTGAATTTTGAGTGCGGGAAGCTGTACCTTCGTAAAGTCCTGAGTGCCAAGCTGCCGGTACACTTGGATGGCGTTGGAATGGGTATATATCAATTGGAGTTCATCACCTCACCGAATGGCGGAAAATTTCGATCTTTTGTCCGTATGGACGACACTTCCAAGTTAATAGAAATTGAACTGGAGGGGATAAGTCGACTGAACTCCTACCGCAATGAATCCTATTGTGTGAAAGACGCAATGGCCAAGAAAATTTGTGCTTGCCGCGATAAGAATTGGCAAGGCTCGTTAATCGATGATCAAAACACAAAAATAGAGAAAACGTCGGATGGTGTTGTTGTCTATAATGTCAACGATTGACTTCAACTTCATGGATAAATATCTGCACAGTTTTGTAGCATCATTTATCAATAAAAATGGGAAAAACAATGTAAAAACCTTGGGGACTTATTTATTATATTTTCAACTGGCCGTACAGCGACAGTGCAGCCTAGGGTGCTGTGCGCCATGAGATGTACATGGGGATACATCAAGGCTAGAAAGACACACCCACGCACTCTCTGTTCGAACACCAAGAACGCCAGCTACTTGTTGCCTTATGCGGGGTATATAGAGTGCAAAATGTTAGACTATCTGAAGCCCTGATTAACCCAGAAACTCACAGAATACTCTGCACTTAAGGTAGAGACAGCGTTTAGCCGCTTGCCAGGTGGGGAGCGCACGAATTAGGGTACGTTCTGGACAAATCACTTCAGTCACGACGATCCCTTCATGTGCTCGGCATTGCAAAACAAGGCACTCATCGACCTAACTCCTTGTAGCCTCGTTTCGCGAGGAGTACCGAACGTTAACTCGAAAATATCTCTCAGAAAAAAAGTGTGCTTCGGTTGATCCTGCAATTACATAAATAAATATTCAAATAATTCATACACAAAACTAAAGCCAAACGGAAATCATGATTCGATACAATGCCAACCGCGTAGTCGTGATTTGCGCCATCATCTTCCTGCTGATATTTATATTTGTTAATCAAAATGGCGAGCCGAAAACCGACACGACGCCACAAATCAGCAAGTCGGAGACAGCATATGTGCAGGCAACAACCCTCGCAGATCTACCCAAAACAATCAACGAAACCAGGCAGAAAAAACCACGAAGAGAAAAAGTTGCCGAAAAGTTCTTCGTCTTTAGTCCCAAGTGCAAGATACCCTATGTGGATCCATTCACTTATGAAATACTGGATCCGTCAGAACAGGTTCCACATCTGACCTGTGGAGGGGATCCGGACCTCTTCAGCGTTCTCTATGACCGAAAAAAGAGGCATTACATACTGCACCTGAACGAAGATATCTCGGACCCACTGTATTCAAACATTACCGAATTGTATTGTGTCTATCGGCAGACAGTTCCTGGAACAGACGATACCTTTGCCATGTGAGTAGTTGAAAAAAAGTGAAATAACTTTACCCCAAGCATCTCTTTCACAGGACCTACGCTTCTAAGCCCCTCACCGAGAATTTTATTGTGCCGCGTGACTTTCTTGGCCTTGTGGTCCAGTGCTATGATGTAAATAATCTCTCGCGAGTGGTGCATGCCGATGCGTTTTCCTTTGCGCAGTATCCGGACCACCGCAACGAGACGAACGATGACTGGCGCGGCGCCCACTATCCCAGTGTGTTCCTCTTTGGCATCGACAGCATGTCCCGAATGAACTTCCGTCGCACCATGCCTCTCACCTCAGAGTTCACCCGTCAGCAGGGCTGGTATGAGATGGAGGGGTACAACAAGGTGGGAGACAACACTCTGCCCAATCTGCTGGCCGTGCTTACGGGTCGCAGCACAAGCGAGTGGTCAAGGAAATGCAACTTAAAGAGTCCTGGCTGCTTTGACTTCATCACTTATTTGTGGGACTACTTTCGCAGTGCCGGCTACATGACTGCCTATGCGGAGGACCTCCCTTCCATATCGACGTTCAACTATTTGAAGGCAGGCTTTAGAAAGAAGCCAGTCGACTTCTATCTTCGTCCGTTTCTGGTGATTATCGAGAGTGTCCTCAAAACGGTGGTGTGGCTGGATCAGAAGTACTGCGTGGGGCGGAGGACAAGCTTTAGCTACGTCTTTGACTATGCCAAACAGCTGATCCAGCGCTTTGTGAAGGAGACACCTAAGCCCCTGTTCGGTCTCTTCTGGACGAGCAGCTGCACACACGACCATCCCAAAGGGGGCGAGCTTCTGGATGAGAGATTCGTCAACTACTTGGAACAGTTCAAGAACTATGGATTATTCGACAAGGCCATTGTTATACTCTTCAGTGATCACGGGTTAAGGTTTGGGGAGTTGACGGAACATCCTTCAGGCTTCCTGGAGGAGCGCCTGCCCATGCTGCATATCTATCTGCCACCCTGGTACCGTCGTCGCTATCCACAAGTGGCGCGCGCTCTTCAGCTGAACCGGAATCGTCTTACCTCCAGCTTTGATCTCCATATGGGCATCAGATCGATTTTGGAGCCGATTCGTCCAGGACTTGAATTTATATCGACGTTGGAGTGTATTGGCTGTCGATCAATCTTTGAAGTGGTTCCCAAAAACAGAGGTTGCGCCGATGCCAACATTCCCTATCAATGGTGCGCATGCGATACCTATGTGCCAGTGAGCACCTCTGGCATCACTAAGAAATTGGCCGGAATGATTGTTTATCGAATGAACAAGTATTTGGCTCAGCTGAATCTGGATACTGACTGTTATCGACTGCACCTTGGCAAACTGGTCATGGCCCAGCGCCAGCTACACTTTGATGACGCTGGAGTTGAGATCGGGCCTCGGAACGGCTTAGTGACATTTCGATTGCAGTTTACCACCGCCCCAAATAACGGCAAATTTCGATCTGTTGTCCACAGTGACCGAACCGCGTCGTACGTCGACATTGAATTGGAGGAGATAAGTCGTCTAAACTCCTACCGCAATGAATCCTATTGTGTGGAAGACGTACTGGCCAAGAAAATTTGTGTTTGCCGCAAACACAAAAAACTCGCTGCCTCAATCGGTAGTGATGAAACTGCTAAAATAAGGAAAGTGAAGTATGCTTGGATGGAGGAGCACGAGGACGAATATGATGACACGAATGAATTCATTACTGCAATGCCAATTAAAGCATAAATATCTGTGCAATTTCGAGTACATAAATTTGCGAGCACTTTAAATTAATATCCAAAATAAAGTTCCTTTTTAAGTGCTCCGAAACCATTTATTGCAGTTAATGCAATGGCAGCAGCCAAGGTGTGAAAAATCAACGTTGCAGGAAAGAAAAAATATGACTAAATGAATGTAAGCGGATCGGATGAAATCTCACTATTAATTACAGATAAGTGAAGTAGGAAACCACAGTAAAACTTTCGAAAGTAACTTTCTTAATAACGAGAAGGAACGTGTGAGTCGCTTCTGGGGACGCGACTCTACTTATACCCGTACTCAGTCAGTATATACATTTTTGAGCTTATGATTTTTTAGAATTTTAGAATTGTAGGGCGCTCGCGCACTGAACGAGGCAGAGTGTGCGAGCGAGAAAGAGAATGAGTAGCGTGTCTCTTGCTGTGGAAGGCGGGGGAAGCAACTGTAAATGAATTTCTTCATTCTGGCTATAATTATGATCCGATCTGATTCAGATTCGGCAGTCTGGTCGGAAACGTTTCCTTCTCTGCGTTACACACATCCACTTTTACCACAAATCTAATATATCTATAATATACTATATATAATATACCTATCTAATATACTAGAACTCTTTTTTGAGTGCGGGTATAAAAATGGTAAAAAAAAAATGGTAAAACAATCTGTGAAATTCGAACACACAGAATGCTAATTTGAAAGAACCATGAAAGAAAACATTGAGACATGCAAACCATAAACTGACCCAAACAATAAAAATACAAATAAGTAAAGAAGCAAACTTCTCATGCCACAACTCTCCCACACAACTACCAAAGAGATCCAAGTTTCAATTAAATTTTCTATAGCTCTGTCAGGGGCAACTATCCTTCGGAACAAAGAACAACTTAAAACGAACAACAGCTACGCATTAGGCAAACAATTTGCATCTTCTGCTGGCCTTTTGCCCTTTTAAAACATCATGTTATATACCTTAACCGAGCGGGCTATGCTCACAGTGGGTTGCGGCCTGTCAGACAATGTAGAATAAAATGGGGATGGAATCCAATTCTGGGAAAGAGTTATATCTATCCTTTTTAATTTTTAATTATCCACTGCTTGATTCTCGTACTATTTTCCCTACCGGTACTCTTTCGTCTAGCTAAGCAAATAAATTTGTACCTTTTAGATTTCTCATTGACAATTTCATTTTATTTTTGCTGATCTAGTTGCCTTTTGTTTTCCTTCAGCATTTCAGTATTTTGGGGCCTCGTTTTATTTATTCCTTTAGCTGGAGTCAAACAGCATACATATTACTAGTAGACATAGCACAAACAGAACTTCTAATAAAAATGGAAATTTTCGGTCAGAAAGTTGCAAAAGTTGGAAGAAAAATGAAACGTAACTCGAAACACCCGCACACACAGCAACACGTGCACGAGCGCGATCACGATCACGAGCACACATATAGCAGCAGCAACACTAGCAACACGATGGCGGCACTAGAGGATGACTCCCAGACCCTGCTGCGCCAGGAGGGCGTCGAGGCTGACGTCGAGAACGCTCGCAAGGCTGTGGAGCGTAAGCTGATATACCTGTCGGAGGCCAACCACATGGCAGCACCTTCGCGGGCGGTTCGTCGCCAGGCCCTGGAGGCCCACAGTGGCAGCGTCCTTGGCAAAGGACGCGGCGACGGCAAGCACACCAAGAAGCCTCGCTCGCAGGAGGCTGCAGCCGGCGAAAAGTACCGTAGCCACGGCGGTCACAACGGTAAGAGATGGGGCGCTGCCCCATTAGGAGCACAAAGCACAATTTATCTTCGCCTCGCCCGAAAGCAGCACTTGATTCGCCGCGCCGCAACGGGCTGTCGCTGAGCGATGACCCGGAGGAGAACGATATGGAGTCACTGTCGCGCCGATTGCAGGATGTGGTGCTGGAGGCCGAAGAGCAAGAGCGCCGCCTGAGCGGCGTCTATGGGCGCCAACAGATGAGCACCAAGCCCATTGTCGCCTTCACGTGTGGCGTGTGCGGGGCCAAGTTCCAGATCAAGTCGCTGCTCGGCGCCCATCGTCGCACCCACGACGAGGACTTTTCCGTGCGCTTCCGCACCCACCGCCCACCTACCAGCACCACGACCCTCACCAGTGGACACCTGTGCAAGTACTGTGACCGCAAGTTTGATCTGGAGCGCACACTCCACATCCATCAGCTGTGCCACTGCAAGAAGATACCGCCCCAGCTGCGCCGCAAGCTGCCCTACACCGAGCTGTTGCACGAGAAGAAGGCGCCGCTGCACGAACAGCGTTGGTAGATCGTCCAATTTAGGGTGTGCCATGCGTCGGCTTGCTCTTTCTTGGCCAGCCAACATTCCTTTAGTTCTTCCTGTTTTTAAATTCAGCCACACAGCCGTACGCATAAACCCAGAAGCAAATCTCACTTTGAATATTTCATGAGTGAAGTTTCCATTTCATTGTTTCCATAAAATTTCCCCTCTCTCTCTCACTCTCTTTGCAAACAGAAGAGAGAGAGAGAGAGCGCATCTTGAAATTGTTTTCGCTGCTGTTTTCTCTTGACTTTTGTTTTTCCTTAAAGAACGCTTTTCAATGCAATTTGCAGCACTTTAAACTTGTCCTCTGGACCATCCATCCATCCATCGCATGGCATGGATCCTTTGTGCAGCTTTTTATTGTGTGTTTTGCCAGTGCAGACACGTACGCCCGGCCAAGAGAGACAGAGAGAGAGAGAGAGCTCTCGAATGCAACGCAGTCGACGAGACACATGGCTGGCAAAAGTTTTCCATCTCTGGATTCGTTTTGCTCCCCTACCCCCAAAAGTCTTTATGTTTTCCTTCTGCTTGTTTTGCTTTTATTATATGATTGCCATAAGTTCTTCGGTCGTCTTGCTTTGTGACGATTTGTAAACACATCCAATGGCTTGGAATTTAATGATGGCGCTTGTTGCTCCAATTTAAAGAATTCATGCGATAGAATAATGTTTTTCGGTGACCATAGCACTTGGCAGAACATTTATTAGTGCTCTCTCTCTCTCTCTTTTTGAGTACTATGAGCCAGTTCTTTTTTGTGGAAACATTTTTGCTGCTTGCAGCTACCACTCGAAGAATCGGCTGCACTTCCATCTGGTCACAGAAATTGCAATCAAAATCCTCGCACGCACCTCACAGTGTGAAGGCACTCTTGGACTTCACACACACACATTTAGAGCTGGGAAATGCATTTCCTATAGACACATCCTTCCTATTAAGTGGAGTCCCTGTGAGCCAACACAGAGAGAGAGAAAGAGTGAGTCGAGTCGAGTTTCCTTCGTTAGCTTTGACCGCAACAGGCAACAAATCAACTTAATTGTGTGTGTGGAAGCGTCAGAGGCCAAACCATGCGACACTTCCTCCTCAGCTACGAGAGAGTTTTCGGCCCGAAATTTGCATAGAAAGAAGGAGGCAAAATTGCAGATGCCGATGCAGATGGAGATGGCGATGCCGATGGAGGAGAGCTGTAGTTATTTTCCATCATTTAAAGGCAACTCAAATGGCAATATGTCTGATGCTGCCGCTGCTGCTGCTGCTGCTGCTGCTGTTGCTCCTTCCTGTACAAATAAACATCCGCTTCATCTCCATGGGCATTTAATTAGTGTCACTTCTCCCAGGGACTTCTTCAGCTTCTGCTTCAGCTTCAGCTTCCGATTGCCTTAGTTGCTGGGGGTGACACTGTAAATGGGGGACAGTGTGCAATATATTTCCAGCAACAAGTAAATTTAATTACACACACATGAGAGTTCGTTTTTATTTTTTTTCCTCTCACTCTCCGGAACAGAACTGGAACTCTGAAACTTCTGCGTAACTCGGAGTCAACTTTTTACATTTCTTTGGCCCTTCTAAAAATTTTATTTGCCAATTTGCTCAGCTCTTGATGGTAGTACACTTCTGGTTCCATCTTCACAGATTTCCCCTTCTTTTATTTGCTCTCCCCACCCCCCATCCAGTTGGCATACGAGTCATCCAGAACCAGAACCAGAACCAGAGAGCACCAGCACCAGCACTCGCATGACCCTGGGCAAATTTAATTTGAATGAAGCACCAAAACGAGCAGCGCCAGGAACAAGAACACCAGTGGCTCACATTACGCATACGCAGCGTTGTATGTGCCTGGGCTGGGTTGGCAGCAAGGGTGGGAGAGTCAATTGTTGCCTCTGTCCTTAGAGCCAGCTGCTGCCAGCTGTTGCCGCCCCCCCACCAAAAAAAAACAGAAAACCCAACTGCCATTCCTGGCCTGGAACATGAGGCCAAATAATAATACTCGTAACAATATTATTCTTTGTCTGAGTCGCGCGACTCCTGAAATTTTAATGACAAAATGTCACATTAACAGTCGAAATGGATTTCCATATGCGAGACAGCTCTGCGAAATGTTGCTCCCGGGAGCAGGTGGAATAACTGGGAAGTACTCTCTTACCTGCAAAACAACAACACTGAGAGAAAACAATTAATAAATAAAGAGAGAGTTTCCCTAATGGATGGAGTTCAGAGCCCAGCGAATGTTGTTTACTCTTGGCTTTCTCTCAATGTACTTCCAGCTATCTGTTGCTGCTACTGTCGGCTGCTGTTGCTCTCCGCCGTTTCTTCTCAATGTCATGTGGCATCATCTGCTCCACCTGGCGGGAGTCCTACTCCTGCACTGTTCATTTACCTCAGTCCATCAGCCAAAGCTTATTTCGCGCTCGAGTGCTCGACTCGGCTTCGCCCCTGACGACTGACTGGCTCAGTGACTTCCACTCATACAACCTCTGCCAGCTGCTGCGCCATCAGATTCCACCTTGCCAGCAATTCAGCTGCTATTCCTTTACCATCATCGCCCCCACATATGAGCCATTAAAATGGCGTTGCACGTAGAAAGTTAAATCTGTAACATAAATGCGGCTAATGGGGGGCGGGTGGTGTGTGTGGCACTGTATAGAACGAGTGATTTTGATTTTATTATTATATAATTTTGATTGATATTTTTTGTTAGCTAATTATGCGCAGACCATATTCTCTGTTGTTCTTCAAACTTGTTAGCAGACAGAACAATGTAGCTGTTGTGTTACCACTCAGAAAAACTCCATGTAATTAAGTTTACTTTTCTAATTAAATGATGGAAGGGAAGTCAAACTTAAATGTGTACAGCATTCCATTCTTCTGCACCGAATGCTAAGCTCTGACCTGAACCATCTGGTTAAGCTGCCATCAAAGCCACACCTGAAAAGAACATTCTCGCTGGTGGCTCTCGTCAGCTTCTTTGCTGCTGCTGCTGCTGCTGCTTGGTTGCCCCTGAGCTCATTATCCCTAGGTAACTCTGTCAATGCGCAATCCGACGGTTGGTCGTGGGCAGCCGTAGCCCGCCCCCCATTAGCAATCGTTATCTTCAGAGATAGCCCAGCGCAGGCCAGGGCAGGGCGAACATTCCCATTAACTGCATTTCAGGGAAATGTCAACTGAATTTTTCCCATTCACGTTTTCCGCTTGGCTCGCCGTAGATTTCCTTCTGACACCCACTTCCACTTGTACGGACGGATATGTATACACATATGTGTGTTGTGTGTGTGTGTGTGTGTGTGGGAGGGTTCCTTTTCGGCTGAAAGGATTATCCGACTCGTTGCTGATGTCCTTCTGGAGGAGTTCCTCGCATAAGTTGTGCAAATATATACACGTGAAATGACTTACAACTGATTTAATATGATAATTGGAAAGTGAGTCATAAGATAAAGAGAGCCACCCCAGTCCCTACCAACCCAGCCATAGAGATTCTTTTGACTTGTGGCAATACGTGAACGGGGTCCGGGTCCGGGTCCTCTGACAGAATCTCTCTCGGCTGCCAGCATTTAGCATTCATGCAGGAAAACTTGAAAGGATCCATGCCATCCTCCCTGCTTGTCGTGGCACCTCATGTGTGCTGTTTTTTTGTTTGTTTTTGTTTCAATTCTGAACTGCCTCAATTAGGCGGTTACCCTTTCCTCACACCCCACCCAACAACACACCCCATCAACCCCATCTCACTTAACCTAACTTTCGCCTAACTTAACCAACCAACAAACTCGCGTCTAGGCAAAAAGTCAGCAGAGGCAAGAAAAAATAAGAAAAAGTTGATATTATGTATATAAAATGCTTGTTATAAAATTTAATGAAACCGCACACGAACCGAGCAGCGGATACTTTTTTTTTTTGTTTGTTAGGCAAAGGGTATTATTATTATTAGGGTATATCTGCTACAGGAAGATGAATGCTGGGGCTCTCTTTGCAGCGCTTCTTGAAGGTATCCTTGGCCTTGCTTCCTTTCGTGTGCCTGACTTATCAAAAGTGTAGCTGCTGGAAGCTATTCAGAGTATTCTCCAAGTCTCCTTACTCGCCGCATGAAAATTCCTTAACATTTGCACTTTTGCGCTGACGTTAGCTCCATATTCCCCCCCCACGCACATCTGTTCGGGGGGGGGAACCAACCGTCTTAATGGTTTATGAATTTGCTTATCACGTATTTTTCTGGCAGGCCCATATACGCGGTCGCTTTTCGCCAAATTAAATGGGTCGTACGTGTTTGCATAAAAGAGCAAAAATTTCCTTGAGTGAGTGGGTACAGTCCATGGCCCTGGCTCCCAAAACCCCATCCCCCCCAGCTTCATTAGACAAACGCAAACAGGAAGAAAAACTGGTAGGAATGTTGTGCCACAGCAGAGCAGGGTCCGAGCTGTAGAGGAATGAGAGAACAGTCCTTCAGTTGGCTTCATTTGTTTTAATATTCCTCGAGTGTTTTTTCATGGTCGCCATGTAAAATTTATCCGCAGTAACTTTGAGTACAAGGAAATCCTCATACCCCCGCCCCGCCCCCGCCCCCGACCGCTTTTGCGCTCTTCCGAACAGTACAGCGAACAGTTGAAGTTTGAAGGCAAAGTTTTCCATTTAACGCTTGCTTGACCCACAAATTCACTTTCATCCAATGTCGCCGACGTCAGTCGCTTTGATGATGACGACGATGTCGACGATGTGCGGGCGTGAACATCAACCGGATCTCTCACAATCCTCAGCACCCCAAGGAGTGGCTTCCTTGAAGTTTCCTTTAAATGAGTTGGCTTACTGCTAATTTAAGTAATTTGCCGCCATTCTTCTGTCAATATTTCTCCCTGCATAACCCTATACCCCTGCTCAATGATTGCTCGTCCATCTAATTGTCGATCCACAAATAGTACGCGCAGCTTACTGTCTCACCCTTCGGGTTCGGGTATATCCAATCAAGTTGAAAATCAGCAAAAAGAATTTCTTGTTATTTATCTTAGCTTGTTTCAGCCTCTTTCTTTTGCTTTGCCCCAAAGATTGCTGGACGTTTTTTAATCAGTTTGATGCAACCAGGAAAAGGAAACAGCACGAGCATCAGGCAGGACATGGACTTGCCTCATTAGTAAGTCAACCAGACCGCCAACAAATTGTCTACTTTAGTTGCTCTCCTATTGGACCCAACTTGTGTGCGAGCAGGCAGGACCAGGGCACGTGCCTTTGGCCGTTGGGGGCAAC